CCGTTCGAGCAGATCTTCAAGGACGCGTATCACACGATACACCGCCTCGACACCAACAAGCTGCGGAATGTGTCCAAGTTCTTTGCACATTTACTGTTCACGGACTCCATATCGTGGAGCGTGCTGTCGTGCGTAAAACTGAACGAGGAGGACACCACGAGTTCCAACAGAATATTTATCAAGATCTTGTTTTAAGAGCTCTCGGAGTACATGGGTCTGGCAAAGCTGAACGAGCGGGTTAAAGACGTGACGTTGCAGGAGGTGTTCGAGGGGCTGTTCCCCAGAGACGATCCGAAGTACACACGTTTCGCGATCAACTTCTTCACGTCGATCGGCCTGGGCGGTTTGACGGATGACCTGAGGGAACACCTGAAGTCCCATCCAAAGCCGGCACCTGTGCCGACGTTGACCGGTACCAAGGAAGAGGACCCTTCAAGCTCTGATGAATCTACCAGTACGTCCAGCTCGACGACGACCGATTTTTCTTCGTCGTCGTCATCGGAGGACGAAGTTCCGGCAAAGAAGAAGAAAGGTAAGACGTCGAAGAGGGACAAATAAAACAAAATAGGAATTAATTGAGTAATAAAAAAAAATAAGTCTTTATTTATAAGTTATAATGTATGATAATTAGCTATTCTGACATTCTGTACAAATTATATTCTACGACTTGCATATTTTACAAATGCTTTAAGAGTTACGAATTAGCAGGAATTATAAATGAAGATACAATATTTATTCTACTTTGTATATTTAATATTCGATAAACGTTACATTAAGATTATACATACGCCCGTTTTTTATTATTTTTTTTTAGTTGACAACTTAATTATCTAGGAAAGTTATTTCTGTCGTCTTATCGTTTAATTACATTCTGTTACGTTTTAACATTTTCAGAAGATGATTAAATGCCCCTCGCAATTTAGCTAACAATTTTTTCCTATTTTTACAGTGCATTAAGGATGGCGATCCGGAAGATGGGCAGCGCGTGTCATTGTTTTTGTCAACACCACCAGTGCCTCGTGCCATCCCTGACAGTAAACACAAGATGACAACAATACCAAGAGCGCGCACGCTGCGAATGCGTGTACGGCATGCCGCCAGTGACTCGCATGTCGCACGGCTGATGACGGATGACGAGCCGCGTGACGCGTGATCGACTAAGGACTTTAGGGAGGTGCAATTGTTTTTTTTTTATTTTTATGAACTTATCAAACAATCTCGAGCAATCTATTGGTTTACTGTACTGTACTCTATTATTATGTATTGTTTTTTTGGGTAGAATATATTATTAATTGTTTGTTTGACGAAGTTGTGAAAAGAAGATTAAATCAGGACAACGAATAATATAGTAAGATTTACCGTAGATCATTATTTTGCTCATTTAAGTTAATCAGAGCTTGATCAAAGCTCGATAAAGCTGTGAAAAGTTTATTAATTGGAATTCATTATTTAAATACTCACAAAATGACAAAGTTTACTCGATTCCTGTTGTATTTCTGCATTCCGTCGTATACAATATGTTTGTAAAATCTGTGTTTCACAGATTGGATTATCTCGAAAGTACTTATTAATTATTAATAACGCAATATGATCGATAAAATTATCAAATTATTCTCAGAGAAAGCACTTTGTTATTTCAAAGACAAGAACTTTGGAAACTTGTGCTGTCATTTTAAAACAGGGTTTGAAAACTATATATATGACGATAAATTTCTCGCTCGTCTTCGAAAAGTGCGCGTACAAATCGAGGACAATAAAACTCGAGCTGGAGATCGAGCTGTGTCACATGCGTCACGAGTTTTTTAAAAAAAGCTCAGCCCAGTGGTTTTTTTTTATTTTATTGGGTTATATTAGGTTTTTTCGGGTGTTATGAGTTTTCATTTTTTTATAATTTACTAATGTGATTAAAGATTCACATTATGATTCATCCAAATTTATGGGATGTAAGTTCATCCCTCAAAATGAGAATATTAGAATAAAAACTTACATATTACCGTTCAACAGTGTAATTTGGTTATATTGGATTTTTTCGGGTTTATTTTTTCGACCGATTCTTCTTCGTCGTCGTCATCGGAGGACGAAGTTCCGGCAAAGAAGAAGAAAGGTCAGACGTCGAAGAGGGATAAATAAAACAAAATATGCATTAGCATTTGAAGTATAACAATTGGACATACTTAAATAATAAACTCGGATATGTATTATTGCTTTAATTAAATATACATATTATACTTTTTTTGTATAGTTGTGGCCTACCGTTTTGCTGCGAAAAAACTTGTTAGATCAAACAAAATAACATGTCTCGTGATTTGAAGTTTCGTAATTAATTGTGCTAATTATCTCTTTTGGCTGTTTCTTGTACGATATATGATTTGATTCCACATTTTGTTTGTTTGATATAACGTCTTTATCTCTTTTGCACGAAAACACGAATGCCACAGAATTTTTTTTCAATTGAACTTGTTCATGAAATAGTTTGAAACACTCGTTGACTTGCTCCTTCGTTTTGTGATTTTCTTCCAAAAGCAGGGTCCATATTTTTATATCTCCAGTGATTAATATACCAACTGGCCCTCTTTCCTGGTTTTCTTCGAACGCGTCAGTTTGTGGGCATATTTTTGTACGTATGTTATTTACTTCCGTCAAATATAGAAATATCTTCTCTGCTGCAAAAAAAGAAATAAATGTTAATATGGACATACCCAAAAAATAATCGGATATGTATTATTACAAATTTTAATTATAAATATACATATTATACCTTTCCGACAGAGCTTCTCGCCATTCGTTTCCCATTATAGAATTCATCTGATCATAAAATATAAGAAAAACCGTTTGATGTGTAATTACAGATGTTTTAAAGTTGATGATTGTGTTAAGAATTTCCCGATAGGTTGGTGCTTCTTGTGTTACGCTGTTGAACGGCAATATATACGTTTTTACGCTGATATTCTTATTTTCAGGGATGAACATACATCCTATAAATTCGGATGGATCAGAATCTGAATTCACAATCACATTATCATTATACAAAACGGTGATGTCATATTTTGTAGATCGTAAATTCTCCATATTTTCTGAAATAAAAAAAGATTGGTTTTAGAGCTTTTTATTATTTGATACTTATTTGTAACAGATAGAATATAAAAAAATTTATTATAAAATATTTACCTTCTAGATTGAATACATTTGACGAAAAAAATAAACTAAAAATTGGTTTGATTGGTACGTTTTTAACTTGTTCTAAAGTTTGGCAAGTGATAAGCTGCTTAACACAATAAGGCCTGGATCTTCTTGAAATTTCCTTTTTCGCAACATTGTTCCAGAAGCTGAAAATAATAATTTCACTCAAATTTATGTTTTGGTGTTTTATCGATGCGCGTTAGTCGGATTATCGATTCTCGAGTCCGGGGTAGGTGAAGTGACTGATTAAAAAAAAGAATCTTTGTCTCCACGTTAAAGTCTTTTATTCCGACTCGCGTGACTCTCTCTGCGACTGTACAATTGCCTGTCCTCTACACGACTCTCCGTCCTCTGACCTTCTTCGGAT